TGGTCACTATGCTTCCCCCCACATCTACTAATGGGGGGATATTCTCCTTAGTCCTCCTTTTGTTGCCAATGTATTTATGGAAACCCTTTTTAATTGTCTTTAACAGCACTAGATTATGTTTCAACTGCACTTTGGCCCATGTAATTTTCTCCCTGCACAGCCTCACTGTAGCCCTGTACTCCTCCTGAGATGCCTGCCCCTTCTTCCAAAGACCATAACATCTCCTCTTTTTTTCTGAGCTCCAGCCAGAGCTCTCTGTTCAGCCAGGATGGGCTTCTTCCCCACCGGCTCATTTTCCAACACACAACAACGGCAGCTCTTTCACCTTGAAGAGTTCCTTCTTGAAGAGGTTCCAGCCTTCCTGGACACCTTTGCCTTTCAGAACTGCCTCCCAGGGGATTCTGCCAACCAAGTCCCTACACAGACCGAAGTCTGCCCGCCAGAAGTCCAAGTGGCAGTTCTGCTACCTCCCCCCTTCCTTACTTTTCCAAGGATTGAAAATTCTGTCATTTCCTGATCACTGTGCCCAAGACAGCCTCCAACCATCACATCCCCACAAGACCACCTCTGTTTGCAAACAGCAAGTCCAGAGAAATTTTCCATTAAAGAATACAGATCCATTATTCTGGATTATGTAGACACATAGGAATTGTGTAAACTTGTCACCTGTACAGAACCTCTAAATTTGTATTGTATGCAGGTATGTTCATTGTCAGACAATGTGTTATCAAAGTGTTTTACAAGCAAATAATATGAAATTTAAAATGAAAATGTGTTTATTTCTTGTCTATGAAAATATGAACATGAAGTAAGACTCCCATGAAGCACAAAAGTATAGACAGATCTCTGACCTAAAAACACTCTGTATAGCAGCAGTTTGAAGTCACTGTTCTTTTTCTCAGTTACCTAGAGTACCCAGTACTGTATTTATTATATTGTCTGTATTTTTGAAGAGTATAGATGCAGGGTAAAATTACAATTTAACCTGGGCTTTGTGTGTTACGAATTGTGTGTGGATATGTATTTCATTTTGAGATGAAACAATGTATTTGCTCTTTATTTTTATTTTATCATTTACGTTCAGAAAATATTTCACCAAGGCAAAATTTTCCACTATAACATCACGGGGGGGGGGGGGAAAGAAAACCAAACAAATACAAACCCAAACGAACAAAAACCACTAAAGAATCAAACAAAATTTAAAAAATAGAGAATGCTGTTTGCCCATTTTTCAGATTAATGCAAACACTACCCATCTTCAGCCCGTTTGGCTCTTGTTTTTCTGAACAAGAAATCTAATTCTACGGTATAACAAAATAAAAATGCATTCTTCAAGACTAATTTGTTTCCTCTGCTGAAGGGACTTTGTCAAGTGCTCCCGCTTCTGAAAAACAAAACAAAACAACAAAAAACCCACAAGTATGTAAGTAAGCATATTAATCTTACCAACTAACATAACTAAAATTTCTATGAGATGCACTTATTTTCTTCCCAAGTTAGCAGCGCTTGGCCTGCTCATCAGAGGGTGCATGCTTGAGATCAATATGTTTCACAGCCTTTCTGTTATGTCCAGTTATCAACTGGCACAACAAACAGGCTACTGCACTGTCCACAGTAAATATACATTATCATAATCTACTATAAATATATACCTGAATTTTCTCAGGTCCTTAGCACTAACTGCGTTCTAGGTTTTTGTTTCAAATGCTAAGTTGATTAAATAAACACTAGGCTGATATTTTCAATGATGAGAAATATTTCCCTTGGGTGAATGCAAATAATTTAGAACATTTTGCTAAAGAGGTTTAGAATTTTGATTCCTAGATATGCAGAAAATGAAGAGATCTCTCGAAAGTCTCTTTTAATAATGAAATATCAATCATAAAATACAAAAATAATACATTGGAGTTCTTTTTCCCTACTATTTCACAGCATGCACTTGCCACAAAATCAGTTAACTTTTGTTGTACAGAAAGCTAGAAACATAAAAGTTACAGATTTATTGAATTGTCTGCTTTCTGAGACAGAGAATTCCTCAAACATTTGCAGTTAAAATGATTTTTTCCCTTCCCGATGTTGCCTTTCACATATGTATTATGGTTTGGAAGCACTTTGTAAACAGTTTTAGAAGGGCTGAATGGGGTTTTCCAAGCTCAGATTTCTTTCTTTCTTTAACATATATTTAAAACAAAGGTGGTCTCTTTCAAAAAGCAAAACTAATGAAAAATCATAAGCAGCCATATTTCTTCACCTCACGTTTTAATAACGTTACCATTGTCGAATCACTTGGTTTTACAATTCTTGGCACAATTTTGAGATTCCAGAAGTCATTTTTACTAGCAGCGTTTTGAGCTGTTTGTCAATATTCAGCTTAGTGTTGTTGGACTAAGCAAAAACTATGATGTGACTTTATTGTAGGATACACACAGACAAGGAGATGTATTTCACTTGTCACTAACAAGCCCTTCAGAATTTCAACTGACTGTTCTTGGCATTAAACTGAGGTCTTATATCATTTGTTATTGAATTGTTCCACGTAATAAACAGTGTTTAGGTGTTTTTCTACTCTTCTAAAAGCTGTGTCCACACAATTTATTTAGCAGTTGCTATGGTTTTCACAGTACCCACATTAAATGGTATTAGAACCTTGCTATGTTGGATATTCATTTACCTGCAGTTTGGCAGGACTACCTGCACTCTCTAAATCAAGCCTATTCCTATGGGCACTAAACTGCAATAGCAAGTTCCTCCTCCCCATCAGAGATCCTGTGCAAAATCTTGCACACTGAAATCTGTAGCTGACTCGTACGTTCAAGGCTAGTCCTCTCATCTCAGTAAAATTCACACCAGAAAGTGGGAAAGATTAAAAAGATACTCACTGACCTTTAAGACGCAAGTAAGTCAAAAATTCAATTACTGTGCGCATGACGTTTTCATCAGCCAGGGGTCTTCCAAGTTTCCCTATAAATCAAGTTGGTTATTAGTTAAGGTTAAAACAGTGGAAAGATCTATTTTATTTATTTTTTTATTTTTATCTACTGTGCCTAAGTTTATGAGTACTCTGGAAAAAAAAAAAAGGCAACCTGAAATGTCTTTTTCCTTAAAATCCTTAATGGGATACCTCATTTAATAGAAGAGCAAAGGTAGGTAACCGCAGTTCTTAGAATCAAAATGGCACAACTTGGTATGCTGTTGCTGCATTGGAGATGCTTTGACACCGTAATGGTCATGGTCTTTAAGGCTTTATGAGTGCTGTTGCAGAAGAGTTATTCTGTGTTCTCAACTTTCTCTCTTTGTGTCCACTAGCCTGAGATGGACACCAAAGATAATTTAGCAAATAAATCCATTACTTTTGCAAACTGGTTAGAAGTTCTTCATGTAGTCTGACTTCATTCTCAATAAGCCACCCAAGTGATACAGAAGTCATATTTAGCCCAAAAGCTAGACCTGGGACATTGCTAAATGCTTGGAAAGCTATGTGTTTTCATATGTATATAATACAATCTAACAATATTATATACATATGTATATAATACAATATAACCCTTTTTGATCTTTCAGAAGTGGGACTTCCGATTCTTTTTAAGTTGCCCAATTCCTCAAGCTCCAGGGCTGGAGGGGGCAGGAGGACACATCTTGCTTTTTAGCAACAGGATGGAAAATTTTCTATATTAGAGAACAAATGGTGGGCAATCTCCCTAAGATTTCTAGCTCTCTATATACAGAACAGATGTGTACCAGTATCTGACATACAGTCTATTATTATATCACTGAAAATACATCATGTAACACCTTGATATTATAATAGGGAATGTGTTTAGTCTCAGATAATAGTCTGAAAGACTGATTTTACAGCAGGTGTGGTTTGGGGCAGTTCTGTGATGGAAGTGAGGATACAGGCTTGTCATGCCAGAGAAGTCAGGACTCAGATTAAGCTCTGTAGCACACTAAAAAATAATGATGGGGAGTTGTAAGGGACATGGGGGTTTCTGATAGAGAGTCAGCATTTAAGTATATACCTTTCCCTAGGCGCAAAGATTTTTTAACTTATAACCATGTACAAAGAGCACACCGAATGGCTAAATTTCATTTTTCTTCCTTTCATATGTATATTAGGACTAGCCTTGTATCTCAGTAGTTAGATGGTCTCAGGCAACATCAGTAAATAAATTACTAAGGATAAAAAACAGAGTCAAACCAAGAACACTGGCTTTCAGAATTTCATTACCTGGTGTAAGTTCCTCATCAGACTGTATTTCACGTTTACCAGTAAAACCATGTTTGTCATTAAAAGATCTGTGGTTATCTACTGCATCTAATAAATAAATTAAAAATCAGATGAGTTAATGACTTAACAACAACTATTGCTATATTGCTTGCTTTTATTTTGTTTCAAAGAGAACATCACGATGGGCACTTCTGATGTACAAAATGATAGAGAAACAATGTGTCACTAAATGAAAAATAACCCTTTTCTGACTCTATGCCTATGATTTACAGATCCAGTACTGCACTACATTGTTACTGAATTCAGTGGAAGCTGAAAATAAAAACGTACGGTTGTATATTCACGTGAAATTTGGGAAGCTGTTTTTGCAACTCTCTCTTCTATTTTTAGAAAATGTTGCCACTGCTTTTGCTTAAAAGAAAGCTGCAGATAGTTTAAGTTATTAACCTTCAAAAACTATCTTACTTCCCCCTGGTGCTTCTTCTCTCCTCCTTGCAATGGGCATTTCCTTTAACAGTAAAAGCCGAACAATACGACCTGGAAACAAGGATGATTCCTATTATCCGGTCTTAGATAAATGACACTTTGACAAATACATTTTCTGACAGTATCTTTGGAATTTTGGAGTCCTTAAGGCTATTTAAAAAGAATGTAGTCATGTATACCTGATACTGAAAATATAAAAACATTGGTAATGAGTGTTATTTTATTAACAAGAAATATTGGTAAAAAAACAGATATCTGAGAGAGCTTAACAATGCATTTCACGTTTCTTGCTATGTACCTTTGTGACTCTCCATCTTGCAGCCTGCTGGTGGGGAGGGGTGTTATTTGTCATGTGAAAATTACAGTTCAGAAGCACAGAGGGTGACCAGAGGTGCTTCTGGGTATAAAGCCTCTCAGTAACCTCACCGTGTTTTAGAAAAGAAGTGTTATCAAACCTATAATGGGCAGGTAAAAAAAATACCTGAACAAATACTCTCCAAATTAGTTTCTTTCCAGTCTTGTAGGTTTAGATAAAATTACTGTATTCATCAGAAAAGTGAGTAGCCCGCTATAGCAAAGTATAAGAAAAAAACAACCACCAACACCTTTTTAATGATATCCTTTAAAAAAATAAGTGTTGACTTACGTGGCCCAAGTAGGTAACCAGCGCTATTCAGAGTCCAGCCTCGTTTTTCTTTGGCCTAAATAAATAAATAAATTAATACATAAAAAATCCAATTATGTTACTGCATGAACAGTGCTCTCTGAATTCAAAGCAAATACCCAAATGGCCATTCCCTTGACAGAAAGTGTGTTCTGAAGGCTTGATATCAATAACTATTATTAAAAAGAAAAGCCAGTAATGTTGCAGTAAATATTAATGTAGAACACTTTCCCCTTCCTATCTAAGTCAACAGTTTTGCTATTGATGTCCATGTAGTGTGACAGTTTTGTACCATGTCAGTGAAGATGCAAATCACACTTTAGAGATAGAAATTTTAACTTCATCCTTCAAGTTTATATTATCACCTGAAAACCACCTTCTCAGACAACAATGTTCTATTTTAACAGTTTGGATTTCCATGACTCCACATGTATACCACCTTTTCTGAGTCACATGGGACATACATACAATTTTGGTCTATAAACAGCACACTTTTTTTTCCTGTTAGTCATATGATTTTTTATAAGGGACTGGTGTTCAAAAGCCTCAAATTGTTAACTAAAAAAGCTTGTTCACTGTCCAAAATGATTTGTGACTGCTATATCTGCTACAGTTCCTATATCTAAATACAGTGCATATATATCACTGCAAGGTTTACTTTTACTTGCCAGCTGATACATGGATACTGGCCAATGGGTAGGACCTTCAACAGTAAAAACAATACTTACTGAGAAAACCAGTCCAACTGTTTCTGACAGGGCGGCACAAATTATTAAGGACATAAACAGGAAACTAATGTACCTCTGCATCTGAAAGAGAAACCATAGTAGGGTAAATGCTTCGAGTTATAGCTTTGCCTTCCAGATACGGATCCCCTCCGGGGCAAGCGAGCATCCACCCGGTAGGTGGAAAGTGGAAGCGGACCTCCTTCCCGGGGGTAGGGGACCTGAGGCTACCGGTTTGGCATCCAGATTCCCACTGCGAGACCGAGAGCTGGGGAGGGGAGTACCTTGAGCTGGGGCGCTACGGCTTTTCCCTCGCAGCGTTTCACCTGAAGCTGTCAGCACGACGGCTTGTTCCACGGCTGCAAGTCCTGCCTGCAGGCAGTCACTGCATGGCCACCGTAGCGGATGGGATTTGCACGCCCACCCTCTGTTCTCTCCTCTCTCGCCCTCTTTATGGGCTGCAGCACGACCGCCGCCAAGGGACGCGCCCTACAGGAGCGGCAGGGGGGCCAGGGCCGCGCGGCGGCACC